TTCAAAGAAATATTAAGAAATTTTTTTTATACTTCAAGAATGTAATTTTTTTTGAACAAATTAATTTCAGAATCTATTTAATTCTTAAATTCTATCTTAAACCGATAAGCCTCTCACGATTTAAAGTACTTATACTATTTAATTTTATCACCGTCGTTGAACAATTTTCGGGTTTACGACTGCTAATGTTCAACTCCGTAGCCTTGTAATTTTGAACACAATCCAGAAGACTTCTGGATCAAGTATTGGGAGAAATTTTCCCTGCGTGGAGGAATTTTTTATGGAACTAACCCGCATTTGCGTTACATGGAGAGGAAGACCACGGAAACTTCCCTCGGTTAGCCTGACGGCGAAGGGATCCATGATCCGTTTATCACTGATGATATTTCACGTCATCATCAGGGACTGATTTACAGGAGGGCATTCGGGGCACGTGCCCGGGGCCCCCAACATTTGAGGGGCCCCCTTTCCCAATAAATGATCTTTTACATTACATGGCCAATACAAAACCTTGTGTAGAAGATCCCTTTGAAAGAATGTTTAGAACAGGGACAACTATCAAATTTCATGAATGGGGTACTTGCATTATTTCATTATTTCATTACTATTTACTCCGCACTCACACTAGAGCAAAATAATTTGCTATTGACATTATTTATTACAGTATTATAACAACTTTTAATGCTCTAGTGCAAGGCCATTCTTTTTACAAGACTAAGCTATAAGCTTCTGTTAGTAATTTCTCTGAAACTTGTTGCATTAGTTAATCTTAGTTGTTTATTAGTATCTTAAAAATTTTCGAATGTTGATGATTACTTTTATCAGACTTCAATTACTTTTATCAGTTTTCGGTACAAATATCTTGTTTCCTTCATAATTTTTAACATTCTAGCCAAAACCTCTAGATATATTTATCAAATTTTTGTATTTTTTTTAACAATTTCACTAAATTAAATTCTGAATATCTGGGGGACGTACTTCTAAATAAGGTTTCATGTTACTTGCAATTTTTATGGTCTGAAAAATACTTTTTCAATATTAAGTTTAAGACCTTGCATGTTAACTAAAATTTATTGGCTCTTTAACTGGGGCCCCCAAATTCATCTGTGCCCGGGGCCCCCAAATCTGTAAGTCGGTCCCTGGTCATCATTGTGGTCGGTGCTAGTGGATTCGTATCAATCAACCATCTCAAGGATTCGTTCACCTCATTGGAAGGTGAATACTCTATCCCCTGAGCCATCTTGGCTCTATTTAAAGTACTTATCAACTCTTGTTGCAACAGAACGGGAAATATCAAGTGCATGAGAAAAATAAGTTTCTTGAATTGGTTGGTTTCCGCAAATACGTCTTTCAATGGAAAAAAAAAAAGGATTGTTAATAGGATTCAATGGAAATGGATTGTTAATAGGTTTTGGGGATCGAATTGAATTAAAATAAATAACATATATTTCAAAAAAATTAATATTTTCATCAGATACACCTGAGACCCCGTATCTGATGAATTAATATTTGGTCAACACTATGCTGCAAGTAAAAATTCTTGATGATTTCATCAAAACATTTTGATGAAATATATACGATTCATGATGGTTCAACATCATTTGATGGTCGCCATCATTCAACATTTTTCATTATTCGTACATGGTTTTTGATATGACAACAACGCTACTCTAATACTATGAGAGCTCAACCATCAAGAGAAGTTTGATTTTCATGGACCAACAATCCATGATGGTTCCAACTATACAATTCCATGATGGTTTAATGAGAATTTTTGTTAGTTCTTTGGAATATATCATTAAAGCATTTTTTTATTTTTTATGTTGGACCATCATAAATCAGTCCGAATTCCTACATTGGAGTGATGATTGTTCATGATCACTCCAACATTTGATTTCTAAGATACTAAGATGAAAATTCGTGATGGTCCATAATGGTTTAATAACAATTATTGTTGGTTTAGAAGGAATATACCATCAAAACAATTTGTTTCTTTTCTCATGTTAGCCCATCAAAAATCAGTCCGAATTCCTACATTGGGGGGATAGTTACTTATGTTGGTTACCATCAAAAAATATAATGATTCATGTTGGAATTATTGATGGTTAGCATCAAGATTATGTTAGTTCATCAATGGAAAACCATCAAAAATTTTGACTTGGGTATAACCACAGCATAAATCGTTCCTTCCATAAACAATTTCAAAATTTAAAATTATTAACCAAGGTTTTTTCCTAGATGAGGAATTTAATTGTGGCTAAACTACGATAAAACTATAAAACTTCACTGCATAAGAGGGAACGTTTCCTTTCGTAATACTGGGAAATTTAAAAATGACAACAACTTTAAATTCACCCAAGATTATGTTATAATCACAAACCTTTTAATCAAAAAATATCTCTATATTACTTTGTGAATTTTTGATGCCTTTTTTATACCTGTGCTATAAACACAACACTTTTGACCACAAAATGTCTCCGAACATTACCTTAGGAATATCTTTATAAATATCTCTACACTACTTTGTGAATTTTTGATACCTCTCTAATACCTGTGCTATAAGCACAACACTTTTGACCACAAAATATCTATGAACATTACTTTAGGAATATCTTTATAAATATCTCTACATTACTTTGTGAATTTTTGATACCTCTCTAATACCTGTGTTTTAAGCACAACACTTTTGACCACAAAATGTCTATGAACATTACTTTAGGAATATCTTTATAAATATCTCTGCATTACTTTATGAATTTGTGATACCTCTCTTATACCTGTGCTATAAGCACAACACTTTTGACCACAAAATGTCTCTGAATATTACTTTATTAGCAACTCACTCGTGAATTGTTTAATCTTAAGCCATGCAATGATCTTAAATTTTATGTAATGAATGCAAATTTCTTTGTGTTTTAAAATACTGTGAATCTTTATTATTGAAATTTAAAATTACATTATGAGTTAAGAAAAAGCTATTAATCTATATTTTAACTAATGGAATGGATTGTGCTATTAGAAAAAGGCTTTAAAATAACCATTCTTTTTAAGAAAAATTATGTGTGATCAGCGAGAATTATCCCTTTGTTAAATTTATCCTATTCTATGTAGCGCATTTATAATTGGACAATTCTATGTACACAAAACATGCATTTATAAGAATGAAACTATATTATGAGTTTTAATTTGACCAAGACGATTCTATAAAACTGGGAACATTTTTCACTTAACGTTCCTTTCTGTAATTATTAATCTATATCCTAACCATTGAACTGCAGTAGCTGCCAATACGGATAGGAAAAAATCTAGTAGAGTTTACGAAATAATATAAAATTCATGATAATTGTTGCAAAATATACTAAATATTTAACACTTAGGGAATTTTATAGTCATCAAAATAGAAAAAACTGTAATATTTTACACTCATGATTTCACATTAAAAGATGTTGAAATGTTATGTATCATGTTTATTCATAATTTTGAATAGTAATAGCCATTTAATTCATCAAAGATAGTTAACTACATCTTTTGAATGAGGTCCGCTGTATTATGCATTAGTGACACTTATTTAACTATGCAAGCAAGCAATAATCTGCACATAAATTCTATTTTAATAGGGATTTTTTAAGGAAAGCTTAGGAAATTTTCTAAACTGTATAAAAACCAGGAGAATTTTTTGCAAACCTGGAGAAACTGTCAAAATCATCTTTTAATGAATGATTAAAAGATGATTTTGACATCTAGAAAATGTCAAAAGAGTCTCCTAGAAAAGGATTGGCAGCTATATATTATGTAATAAATTCTGTCAAAACCATCAACGAGTAACGGCTCCTTTGTAAATCATTAATCGACATCTTAGCCATACAATGAACTTAAATTTGATCTATACATGAACTACAAAACTATTATTGTAATGTGAAAATCACGCATGAAACTATTAGACAATATGCTATGATAATTATACAATTAAAAATTGCTAAAACTGATAAATTAAAAAAAAAATAATAATAATTTAAGAAAATTTTTAGGCTAAATTGAAAAACTAAAGTGGAAATCAAGAGCAAAATTGAATAGAAAAAAAGTAAATTTTATGTAAGAAACAAAAAAAAAAGAAAAAAAGAAGACGAAACAAACTCTTGCTTTTAAAGAGGAGAGAAAGTTTTTTACAGTTATTCTGCATCAGATTTTTACCATTTTTAAGGAAACAAAAAAAACTAATTTTTTTAAAGATTTCATCCTTTACAATAACATTTTATTTTGTTTCTTCACCCGCGGCAACGAAAAAAAATTAATTTTAAAAAATAATTTTAAATGAAAATTCTAGATGTAAATTTTTTTTGGCTAAATTGTAAAAACTAAAATGAAAATAAAACGTAAAAGTGAATAGGAAAAAAAGTATGTAAAAAAAGCAAACTCTAATTTGTATTACTAAAGCAGAGAGAAAATTTTTTACAGTTATTGTGCATCAGATTTTTACCATTTTTAAGGAAACAAAAGAAAGTAATCTTTTAAAGATTTCTTCCATTACAATAACATTTTATTTCTTCGCCCACGGTAACGAAAAATAAGCAGACGACAGCTGTAAACCTGTTCAAAACAAGTTTTCGAATTGCCCGCCGTCAAGCTATAGAACATTGGTTAAAAGTGGATAGAAAGCGGGACTAAATCACGAATTTGATTCGTGGAAAATGGGATGATTGGTTTTTATTGGCCGGAGTCACCAAGAAAAAAAAAAGTCTTTTACTCTCAACGCTTATAATGATACACGCATACTGACGCCCAACAGACTAGCCTAAGGGATTAGTTCAAGGTGGATTTATTCGAAAGCAGGTAAGAGCTCTCTCTCTCTGATGTATAAAATACTCAATTAAATGACCTCGATACGCCTTCGGTTACTTGATTGCAGGTGAATAAAGAAAGAAACCGCAGACTGGATTAGTAAAGGATTGTAACAGGTATGTATGTTTCGTTGTTTGTCAAGTTCTTTTCCGGTTATGAGCACATGGTTAGCAGATAAGTTTAGTTTACTCTGGCCAGGTCGGGATGACTGGCAGTATTGTTCTTTTCAACTAATATTGCACTCGTCCCGGCCTATCAAGAGTGACTCTTGCAACTTTTACAAGAATATTTTCAGCTCAATAGGCCCCTCCCCATAGGTGAGTCTTTTAGATTCAATTTTTGTTATCAAACTTGTATGATGTGTAAGGAGCATTCAGTCATTACATTTCGGTCACTGAATAGCTTAATTGGATCTCTCTTAAAAAGAGCCATTCCAAAAACTTTTATTTTATTTAAATTAAATATATTTATCGAAAACATAGTTCTAATTTTATTTCATATTCCTTTCTTTCCTTTAAAAAAATAGAAAGACTTTTTTATGTTAAAATAAATTTAAGGAAATATTACTTTTTGCGAAAACATCATTGTTTTTTATTAATTATCGCAAAATGATCATGTAATGGTGTCACATCACAATGAAAGAATAGGATTGACTGAATTTCAACATCTGCTTGAGTTTTTTTTTTTTTTTTTTTCTGAAACATTTTAAGATACTGAGCAAAAAGTTTAAATTAAGATTATTTTTTAAAACATTAAACTGGTATAATTTTGGACAAAGTATTAAAAATAAAGTGTGAAGGAAGTAGAAATTTGAATAACTCCAAGGAAAAGTTGGTGGTGTAATTCAACTAGTGGTGCAAAAATTTATACAAGATTAGCTTTTTTTTTTCTTTTGTAAAAAATAAACCAATGAAATAATTTTTATAGAAAATGATCAATCATTGATATAATATGTGGACCATTCTCACTGAAAGTTAACAGTAATTTGCAGAATTTTTTTCTTTTTTTTAAAAAATAGCGTTAGACCCTGTTAAATGGTCAAAAAAATAAGTTAAGTCTTGATATTTTTCTAGAGTGGCCCCCATGACTATGTTGATCTTAGTTTAAAATCATAAGACAAACCCAATCACTTTCCAATTTTAATTAAATTGAATGAAGCACTTAATTATGACAAAATTTTAAATTGTAATTATTTAGTGTTAAAAATTATTTATATTTTATAACAAAATATAATATTAATTTATAAGATTTCAAAAGGGACCGGAGTGTTCTCTTGCTGCTCAACGAGAAGTAATTTTGATAAAGCCTTAAAAATAATCAAAATAGGAATAATGACTTTGTTTTTCACTTTTCTAATACTGCCGCAGATGGGGTCATATATTTTTTCTTCTAACGCTCTTATTACAAGTAAAAATGTTAATTATAAAAAATGTGTCAGATCATATTTGTATTAAGATATGACATACAAAGTAGTTTTCATTGATATTCAAAAATTTATCAATAACTGTATTTGTAAATTAAAGAAATTTCAATGATGTCTGTTTCTCTTAGATCTAAATAAGAGCAAAAAAATTGCTTGGAGGATTTTACCTTTAACTCAGAAAAAGACGCAACCATAAATAATTAAACTTAATATTTGTCACTTATTTTTGACCTAAATTAATACAAAATAATGAAAAATATGTTTAATAAAATATTGTGCATGCTAAGAAGATTTTCATTTTTTGGGTTCCTGTTATGATTCATAGTTGACTAACTAGTCCTGACGTCACGAACAAGAATTTGACCCACATTCGATGTGAGAAGCTTTATTTTCATTAAAATGAGTGAAGAGAATAAATCGAGTTTTTTCAAACACAAAAGAAAACTTAGTTATGTTCACAAATAATTTTACTAGGGAATTTTCGAACATCAAAATATAATACAGCATTTTCATAATAATCACCATTAATAGATTTTTTCAATGAAAATTTTAGGAAGTAATGTAGGTTCCAAGAAATGTCCTACTATTAAAGTGATTAATATAGTCGGACTTCTATTCAACGAACTTCCATTTTTCTCTATTTTGTGATTTTTTTTGAGGAACATTTCGGAAATTTCTTCGTAAAATAACTTCCAAATAGCGAAGGGAGTTTTTCTATTTAACGAACTTTTCTTTGAGATCCACTTTTCTCAAAATATTTCAGAACATTTCAAACTTGTTAAACACATTTTATGGAGAATTTTCGAAGCCAACTTTTAACACTAAAATCCTTTTTTGTTTGCCTTTCAAACGAAAAACTCAGACAAAATGAACGTCAGTAGCAATTAAAATTAAGAACGCGTGTTCAAAATTACTTTTATTATAAATTTAGCTTTTTTTTAAGTTGAAAATGTATGCAGCGTGATAAAAATGTTTTGCTCTATTCTTGCTTTCCATTTCTTTTATGGTTAAGATTTATGAAACAAATAGTAGATACTAGTTCGCAAGATAAAGTTGTACCAATAGCTATTTTAATTATGTCTAGGGCTTGAGAACTTAAAACCTGCTTTGTGTGTATTTCAAAAGGTGATTTTTTATCTAACGAATTTACCATATAACGACTTTATTATCGGGATTTAGCAACTTCGTTAAATAGAGATCCGACTGTAATTTGAATATTGTGTAAAATTTCTCTGGATTTTTTATCTTTATAAACCTATATTATGAAAAAATTACCAATTTCAACAAAAGACTACGAAATATTGAAAAACTAACGTGATTTTACTTACTCAAGATATAGGTAATAAAAGTACATTTATAATATAATTATTTAAAAATTTTCTGCTCTCATTACTTCGCTCTCATTTTTAATCACATGCCAATAAAGAATTTTTCGCATGTTTCTGACAATCAAAATGGATTGTGTTGCGAAATGCAATTTTTTTTTCATTACTAAATTCATCTTTACTTTCTAGCATTTTTTATTTTTTTTTTACGCAAATGGATCTGTATAAACTTTCAAAGTCAGTACTAATTTAATTTAAATAATTGCCCTCCGTAAAACGAAATTTTTCCTATAGCGAAATACCAGCGAAGCTTGCTGCATTGAGTTGTTTATACAATTTTAATCACTGTTTTATTATGTCTGGAGAAATATTTTTATTTTTTTACATCCGAAGTTCTTACAACAAATATTTATCATATATATAGCTACCAACTCTACTGGATTTACCAATAGACTACTGGATTTTGCAGGTTTCTTCTGGTATAATAAGAATTCTCATGGTTTTTGCACATTTAAGAAAATTCCTTAAATATGAGTAAGTTTTTGAAAAGAGATCCCTATTTTTACACAATTTGCTTGCCTGAATATTTAAATAAGTATTACTAATACATAATGACGCTAGTCTTATTTACAGTAATCAGTTCTAGGCATTTCATTCTCACTTTTTTTTTCTAAACTTTTCAGTTTCTTCATATTTAGAACTTTTTTTTAAATTGTAAAATCTTTTAACTATCAATAATGAATTACTTGTCTACTACTATTTTAAATTATGAGTTACCATTATAAAATTAATTTAATGTCAATCATAAATGGAAAATATTGTATTTTTGCATATTGACTTTTGATTCCAAAATAGTGGAGGGGTTTTATTATATATATTTAGAGATAACTTTTCCAACTTTGCAGGAAAAACCATAAAATTATGAAATGAATATATTTGAATAAGTAGTTTATTACTATAAGTTTGACTTTTTTTTTACTAAGTTTGCCTTTTGTTTTGTTTTGTTTACATAAACTGATTTTTATATATATATTATTCAACAGCGTGAAATACACAGAAACAAATACAAATAACGAATCTATAAACGTATTATCATAGCTGCCAACTCCACTGGATTTGGCTATCCTAGTCTACTGGCTAAATAAAAATTGCAAGGCTAAGGTTTTGTACAGGTTTTACTGTCCTAAACCTTGAGTGTAGGTAAACACATATTAATACATGATATTGTCATTTTTAGATGGTGTTCTTTTTAAATGGTTTTAAAAATATTTTCTTTTTTTAATTAGTTTCTATATTATAGGGAAATAAAATAAAAACCCATTTATGAAAATATTAGATATTTTTAATAATCTAATCCAATCTTATTATCCCTTTTTTGTGTCTGTATTTCAAAATATCGAACTATTTAGCATATTCGAGTCCTCGGATTAAAAAACCCATTTATGAAAATATTTCTTTGGTTTCTCTTTTAATAGTTCTATTTTGTATTTCCAAACACTTCTCTGCCATTCAAAAATGTATTACAAGATTCAATCAGTAATTTAATTTTAATGCTTATTTTACACCCCGTTAAATACAGTTGGATATATTATCAATAAAACATTGAAATTTTAGATAAATTTGTTTATGTAGAATTTGCTATGTTAGATCTCTATTTTCTTAATTATTATTAAACAAAAGTTTTCTTGTAGATTTGAATATAATTAATTAAGTGATAAGCGTCGTACAGATGAAATAGAATAAAAGAGACTGTTTAAACCATTGTGTCTTGCCATCCCTGATTTAGTGCGATTGAAATATTTCAGACTATATTTCTCAAGATTATTTAAGATAATCAAGGTTTCTTTTATTTCGCCAGATCAGCATAAAATACTGCAGAATTATTAATGAATGTTCTAAAATTACTTGACTTTTCGATTCTATAAATATCAGAAGTTATTTTGGATCAAAAAATTTCATACATTTGCAGTCTAAGAAAGGAAACATTTTTGTATTGAACAAAATTTCTTCTTCTAAAGTGTTTTCGACTTTTGATTCCAAAATAGTGGAGGGGTTTTATTATATATATTTAGAGATAACTTTTCCAACTTTGCAGGAAAAACCATAAAATTATGAAATGAATATATTTGAATAAGTAGTTTATTACTATAAGTTTGACTTTTTTTTTACTAAGTTTGCCTTTTGTTTTGTTTTGTTTACATAAACTGATTTTTATATATATATTATTCAACAGCGTGAAATACACAGAAACAAATACAAATAACGAATCTATAAACGTATTATCATAGCTGCCAACTCCACTGGATTTGGCCCTCCTAGTCTACTGGTTAAATAAAAATTCTCCTTATTTATATAAATCCCCTAAAATTGAGTCCTTAAAAAATACATATTAAAATCAACGCAGATTATTTGCTTGCTTCAATATTTAGGTAAGTGTTACGTAAGTGTAATGAAGCTCATATATTAAAACCAGTTAACTATCTTTGATGAATTAAATGACAATTACTATTCAAAATTACGAGTAAGCATAATACATAACATTTCAACTTCATTTAACATAAATCATAACTGGAAAATATTGCAGTTTTTCTATTTTGATGACTATAAAAATCCCTAAAATTCCCTATGTGTAAAATATTTAGTGGAACAATTATCATTAAATTTATATTGTTTCGTAAAATCGACTTTTTCCAATCTATGTTGTCAACTATGTATTATGTTAAGACATCTTTTTTTGTCTTGTATTTGCTGTGATCAGCCGGTCTTTGAGGGATGTCACTTTCCTGCAACAGTTCCAAAAATGAACTGGAAATAAGTTGAATTGGGGGATAATTATGCAAAAGAGATCTACCCAATTTCTTGTTTTCGGAATTTTTACAACTCTTTAATATTATTATAAAAAAAAAGAAAGTTTGATGAATAGAGTTTTATTATCATAAAGTTTTATAAAGGGGAATTAGGAGTCATATACTTATTTCTAAGATGAAATTTAATCTTGTAAGACGAAAATAAGTTGTTTCGAAAATTTGAATTTATTTCTTTACACAACATTTGAATAATCACTAATTTTTTTAATAGGGTAAACTGAGAATTTGCTTACATTATTCATTTTTTTTAATGTTTCATTGCTTTCACCAATGAGACTTTTAAATGAAAATATTAGTTCTGATTTTTAAATAAAATAACAAATTGCAATTTTAAACTATTAAATCATCAAATTGTCACCTTGGAGGAAATGATTCCAATTGAGGGTTCAATAAGCATTTAAAACAACAAAAGAGGCATAAAACTTAAATTACTGAATACATTTATAAAAAATATTCTTGTATTTAATTTACATTTTAATGAATATAATAATTCTGAGTCATTTTTATTTTAGTTTAAATTATAATTAATGTTTTATTTACATTTTCAAAAACATGTTTTTGAGGTTTTATGTAACCATGCAAAGTTCAGACTTTCATAACTGCTATAACATACCTGTATAACTTCAACCATTATTTACCTATAAAATTTGCAGTTTCAGGAGATTTTCTTTCTTTTTTCAAAGAAAATTTCTATTTAAGATTATTTATTTATTTTGGTGACTATGAATCAGAAAAATTATACGGTTCAAAGAATTAAAAAAAAAAAAAAATACTCAAGGTTTGATATGCTGCTATTTTTCTTCAAAAATATGCTTTTAAATTCAGTCGACTTAACGAATTTCTTTATTTTGCGATTTTTTTTTCGAGGAACCAAGAATATTTTGGGAATTTCTTCGTAAAATAACTTCCAAATAGCGAAGGAAATTTTCTATTTAACGAACTTTTCTTTGAGATCCACTTTCCCTATTTCCCAAAATATTTCAGAACATCTCAAACTTGATGAAGCATTTTACGGGGGAAATTGATTTTCGAAGCCACTTACTAAGCAGTAAAATCCCTTTCCCTCTTCGTTTGCATTTCATACGAAAAACTCAGACAAAATGAACGAGTTTTACCAGTAGCAATTAAACTTACGAACGCATGAGTAATGTATGTTTAAAATTACTTTTTTAATAAATGCAGCTATAATTTCAACATTAATTTAGCTTTTTCTTTTTTAGTTGAAAAAGTATGTAGCATAATATTGTAACACTGGATAATGCTCTTCTCTATTCGTTGTTTCCATGCAGATTTCCTTCATCGTTAAGATATATAAAATAAAAAGTAGATACTAGTTTACAAGATAAAGGTGTATCAATTGCTGTTTTAATTATGTACTAGGCTTACGAGTTCAAAACCTGTTTTGTGTTTAAGTATTTCAAAAGGTGATTTTCTATGTAACGAACTTATTATCGGGATTTAGATACTTCGTTAAATAGAGGTCTTACTGTGTAAGATAAACTCTGAGTCCTTTTGCCAAGAACTCATCGTTAATCCTATATATTTTGCTTTCCTTTCCACTTAATTGAAAACCCCACTTTTCAAAGACTTTTTAATTTTAAAGGAAATCCCTTTATAAATAATGCATTTCAATAATCCATCTGTTGATTTTAATAGTATTTGGTGCCACGCAAAAAGTAAATAGTTTTTAGAAGAAATTGTCACATACTCTTACTTTATTGAGTTATTTGAAATTTTTGTACGTCAATTCCTGAATTAACTCAAAAAGAATTTCTTCTGGTGTGACATTTGAAAATAATTAGTAAAGTTAAAGATGAGTTAAGGCCTTTATTTTTCTACAAATTACAAGCATTTTTGAATATATTATTTCCAATATAATCGTCATAACATGCGATGCTTTAAAATATAGTAAAGAAGAATATAATGTACAACTAAATAGTTTTTCAAACAATTTATAGTTGCAATCGAAAGAATTGTAAACTGTTGCTTTTAATATTCCACCTGACTGGTATATTTTTGAGTGAGATAAAGTCAATTCTAAAAGTTTTCAATTCAAAAAAAGAAGGGAGAAACGTGTAATTTAAAGACTTAATTTCTCATATATATATCATATATTCTGTAAATAAGAAACATGGATGTCATGTTTCTTATTTACAGAATTGGAATTTATTTTCAGCAGGCCTTGTTAATCGTTTTAAAAGGAAATGTTATTAAAGTATTGTATGTTTGGTTGGTGCTAGAAATGAATTCGGGCTTGAGGTTCGAGCCCAAATCGGATTACTGAGAGTCGGATAAAGGCCACAATTACCGACAAAAATTCCTTGATGACAAAAACAAAATTTTAGAAAGAAAACCTTAAGCTAAATAAAAGTAATTTGACAACTAGTGTTAATCTTAAGAAGCAAAAGTATCGGATAGAAGAAGAAGGTAATTTTTATGCCTTATAAATTTTACATTTTTAGAAACGTTGAATTTTCATGGTATCTGGCAAGAAATAATAACATTAAATAATTAAAAAAGCACTTCTGACTTTTACATATATTAATATTATATTCATACAGAAATTATCTTCGTAAAAATAATTAGGATTTTAGTAACAAACGGGACCATTTTCATGATATCTAACAAAAAATAATGACATTAAATAATTAAAAAACCACTTATGAC